AATTTGGGGAGGGGTCCCAGCCAGGGGGAGCGGGCTCTGGCCCTCGCCCGCATGCGCCAGGCCGGGGCCTTCCTAAGCACCTGCGAGAGCGTCCTGCTGCTGCTGCTGCGCGACGCCGCCCACCCCAAATTCCGACAGGTGAGTGGCCACGCCTGCCCGGGCCACGCCCCAGCCCCGCCCTGTCCCCACCTGGGCAGCCCCACCCCAAAGTGAGGCGGGTGACGTTACCCGCGCTCACCTGAGCGGCCCCAGCTGCCTTCGCACAGGTGAGGTCACGCCCACCGACCACACCCTGTTAGGGCACGCCCATTGCTGCCTGGTTAATGGGTTAATTAGGGGTTAATAAAGGGGTGGTTAATTAGAGGTGTGCTAATTAGGGTTAATTGAGGGCTACTGAACTCACAAATGAGGTTTAATGGGGGTTAATTAGCTTGTTAGGGTTAATTAGCCTTTTGCTAATGGGTTGATGAAGATTTAATGAGGGTTAATTAGGACTAATTAGCTTTAATTATCCCCTCCAGATCCTGCCACTGATCAAGGAGCCCCCGCCGGACACAGGGCTGATTCTGGGGGGGCCCCTGGGTGTGCTGGGGGGGCTCTGAGACCCCTCAAATCCCCCAGAATCAACCCAAAAATCCTCCTCAGCCTGGTGGGGGTCTGAGGTCCCCAAGTCCCCCTGAAAATTCCCTCCAAATTAACCCCAAAATCTCCTGAAAATCCCCCAAAATTGTGCCTGGTCTGGGGAGTCTCAGAGCCCCCAAATCCCCCCAATATGGGGGGTCTATAAACGCTGCCCCCCTTCCCCGACTGCGTCTCTGGGCTTTGGTTTGGGGGGGGTCCCTGGGGGAATTTGGGGGTCCCCGGAGGGGGGTGTGTCTCCCTTAGCCCCGCCCCAGTGATTGACAGCGCGACCCCGCCCCTCAGAGCCGCATTAACCACGCCCCTCCGAAACGATTGACAGCTGTCTCCCGTGGCCACGCCCCCGATGTTTGATTGACACCTCGTCCCTGCCTCTTCCCCCTTTTCTTAATGAACCCCCCCGTGG